TTTTTTTTTCATAACTTTCTCAGTTTTGACAGCAAAATCTTTACAGAGAGACTGAGCTTGATTAACAACTGCTGTAGAAGAGAACGAGTAGCTCCTCTGTTAAATGACACCTACAAGGTGCCATAGAAGCTACCTTACAGGAGCACAATGAAGTGACATGATGTGATTTAAACCTAGAAGTCCAAGTGACATCCCATAAGAAGAGCAATACGTTTCACCCACAGAAAAGTCTGTCATAACCTTTCTTTATGACTAACCAATACCCTGCCAATATGATTTTGTCATCGTATTCCTGCCAGGCCATGCAAAACTTCTAGGAATCAGCCTGAGACGATGTGTGTGAGTAGCACAACCACGAGAGTTACCCACAGTGTCCTGATGAGACACTATGTGCTGTCTCCCCACAACAGCAGGTGCAAAGGTAATAACCTGAAAGGTGTAAGCTGATGCTGTCTAAACTTCCTAGATCTTCAAAGAGGTTAAACAAAAGGCTGTAAGATGGAGTCACATCCATTATCACCCTCAAGAAGCTGTTAAAGTTTAATGAGTACAAAATCAAGTCGTTCACCAAGGATCATTTTAGCCAAAACGTCAATTTAAACTATCCACTCTGGTTTCAAGCCTCTGACCACATTTCCTTTGGTACCAAAAGCCTCCTCTGCTCCTGCCCTGCTTCCACTGATGGCTTTTTAAAGTTCTGTTCCATCAGTAAACAAACTGATGCAACAGGCTTGTGCAGGACTTAAACTCACTGAAAAAGTTACACTGACTCAGCAGGCTTTGGATCAGGTCTTGAAATCACATCTGAAATGAGTAAATAATTTTAATTAATAAGTGAAGTACCAGAAGCTCCTGGACTCAATGCTTCACTTTTTATGTAACTAACTAAAACCAGTGGCCACAAAGCCTGCAACAGGTATCACAGAACCTACAGGCCTTCACAGAGAATTTAGGTCCAGCCATCTGCTGTTTTTAATTATGAATCAAATGCTCAGAGAGAAGGAATGCATTTGACCTAGATACCTACAATGGATCATTTGCATTCCTCCTGTCACCTGCAAAGAAGGTTGTTCCAAGCACCAAGAGTGAAGGAAAGGAGACAACAGCAAATCCAGCCCAAGAGACAAAGAATTAGAAGATGAATATCCCTGGCTCTGGTCTGGTCACTCCCCTTCCTTGGTATCATTTTTTCTCTGGCCCTCTTACTTCACACTAGGACCTTTGGCCTCAGTCATCATTTCAGGTCAAGTAATAAATTAACTGAGGCCTCTCTTTGCAACACACAGTGCCAGCTCAACTGGCAGAACTGGTGCCCGACGGCTTGCCACATCTTCAGTGCCCTTTCCAGCTTGGTTATCAGCATCAACCAGATATGTCAGAGCTACTCGGGGACTGCACCTCTCTTGACTCTGTGGTAATGAGTGTATCTACAAGGTAAAGCCTCCCAAATCATCTAAAAGGACATTCATTAAGCAATCTAACCAATATATTTACATATTTAAGTGCACCCTCTTGCTCCTGCCACTCTTTCATTTCACTGCTCCGAAACATTTGCTCTGTTTCTCAAAAGCTAAAGGTTTTCTATGTTTTTCTCTAACTTTATTCTACAGCAAGATTTAGCACTTTTCCCTCCCTGATTCTAGTCACTAGTGGCCTCTGCTGGACACCTCTGTTACTCCAGACAATAAACTAGTAAAAAAGAAATGCATGGACACATATAGCAGCCTGTACTTTCTGTTGTTACAAGATCTGTCTTCCTTTTGGTGGTCAGACAGCAGCGTCCATCTTTGCAAACTCCACATCTCACCCTACTGCAAATCCTAATTAAAGATTTCAAATTCCAGAAAGCATCACTTGTGTCTGTAGCCAGATCTGATAATTTGACTGATAAAGACATATTCCAGAAAAAAATCCCAAAGCAAGGACCCATTCAATAATTTTGGGGAGAATTAAGCAAGCTTAGCTGGACAACAAGTACTTTTATACTCCAGAATCTAAATGTCTGCCTATGGAAATATCCAGGAATAGCTACTGCTCTTTGAGCCCAATGTAAAGCTAACTCTTCAATGCAGAAAAGTAAAAAATTATAGGAAAAAGTATTAATCAAATTTTAAAAAACAAAGCAATCTTCCCCCAACAAATTTTCAAACTAAATGGCTCAAAGCTAGAAGGAAATTTTCATTTCAACAGAAGCCGTGTAATCTCTCCTCAAAAAGAGAAACAGAGTAATATCAACTTTACAATACTCTACCCACAGATTTACTCACCCCAGTGATTTTCAACAATTCGGCAATGAGGAGAGGCAGCTTCAGAGCAGCCACACTTCCAGTCACACCCACCAAGACACGGTATTTTTTCTGTGGCACAGATGAGCTTTTTTCCACAGGAAACCCTGGTTCTGGTGGAGAGAAGGGCTCCATGCTCCCATCAAACTCTACAAGCACAGAAAAACCAAGACACTTGACTAACAGTGCCTCCAAGTGAGGCTAGCACAGCAGGGCTGCAACACCCACCTATTCCTGAGGGCACGGATCTAAGCCTGGCCTATGCCGGACCCAGACCAATTCATTCTGAGGATGAACGCTCAGACCCCAATCCTCAAAGCTCTCAAGCGTGAGCAGACCTTTAAGCATAGCACTCTATAGCCTACTACTCCTGTTTAATTACAATTTTCTCTCAGATACTGGTAAACAGAATGCTAAAACCTGCGCAGGCAGGCCACAAGAGTGTTCTGTTAAAGCCCATGGCCCCCAAAACAAAGAGACACCCTCATGTGTTGAACATGGCCCAGAATTTACAACAAGCCTACCTTTCACCCTGACTGCTGGGAAGAGGCAACCCCCTGCTGAGCCAGCTTCCCTTCACACTCTCTGGTGAGTAATAAATGCAGGGAGATATTTTAATAACTAAAAATTCTGGGGCCCTGAGGCAAGCATTATCATCTTACTTCCTATTGTATCACTACATATTTACGGTAGCACAGGAAAATACTCCCTAGCAGACAGGGAAAAAACAAAACAGCCACTAAGAACAGAACAGCCCAGCGAGTGGAAACACCTTCACAGAGATGTGAACACCAGAACCGCTCACTTCCCCCACCCGCGCCGAGCAAAGTGATCTGCAGGCTGGGGCAGCCACTCAGAAGGCAGGCTGAGCAAGCAGCTTTAATTCAGGTCTCCTGCCTCCTCCCAGCTGCCCTGCTCCACTGCCACACCGCTACATCACCAGTAACTGGTCTGGTGAGAAGCATTCCTCCACAGAATCGACATGAACACCTCTGCTTAATGAGTAATTAGCAAAGAGTAAATTCACTTTGAAAAAACTGAAAAATGTGTTTCTAGCAAAGACGTTACACTGGGATTTAGTAAAGTTCGTTCTATTTAGTGACATGCTTGCTAATCAGATGAAGTTACTTGGAAGCATTCTGGGTAAAACATAAAGGAAGAAAGACGTTTACACTGCCCTTACTTTCCGTACCAACTCAGATGGTGGAGTGAGGAGGCCGGATTCCTGAGAGAGTTTATCCCTTCAGTCACTCCCTGGGACAATTCAGCTGCAGGTTTAATTTAGGATCCTCCGCAAGGTGATTCAGATCATGCTTGTTCAGCAGTTACACGGAAGCCTGACCTCTACATCCAGCCACCAAGATGCACGAGCACAAACCTCCTTTATAACTAACCTCCTCGCACCCATGTGCTGCAACACAACAGCAATAACATCTCCTTTTTCCACGCTCTGCTTGGAATCAATGTGTTTAACTCGAGACCCTGAGGTTTCTCAGTGTGTGTATAAAAAACATTTGCTAGAAAAAGAGCACGATTTCAGCTTCTAGGCACTGATTAGCAAGAGTAATTAGAGGCAAGGAAATCCAGCATGCACATTGGTAGGTGATTTCAATGCTACTGCAACATTTCACATGTTTATCTGTATCTAATTAAAATTAATGCTGTCACAGCAAGGAAAACATCCACTTCCCTTGTGATGACTAAATGACTATTAATTCACTGAAGCATCCACATCTTAAAGCCTGGGGAGTAAGACATAATTTTTTAATAGGCAGCTTTCGAAAAGGGCTATTAGCGATCAAACACAAGTGCCATGTGCTGAGCCACGCTTTCCTCTTACCCAATCACAGCTCTGGGGAATCAGCTAAGAAGCCATTAGAAACCAAGCAGCTCACAGGCCTACTTAGTTATTTTATTAGCTCTTTAATGCCGCAGTTACGCCGAAAACAGCTTTAAAAGGCCGCTGAGACTCAGAACCGAGATACCCCGGGGATTTACAAACCGTAAACAACGTTTATATACCGGCAGAGGCACGACGGAGCCGAGGCGGGAGAGCGACAAGCCCCTGAGCTCAAGCCTCGGCGGCCGCCGGACCACGACCTGCTCCGGCGGAAGGGCCGATTGGTGGTTCCCTGCCTGAGGCAGGGGGCAGCTCCTGGTGACAGAGCCCAGGGAACATTACAGACCAGGAGTGAAACCTTTCTGACACTATTCGGGGCAGCTGCAGAGAGCCGGCAGGTGGAAAGTGGGTTAGAGACCCGCTGGTTTATTGTCTGAAGCAGAAACATGACAGATCTGGGGCAGCGGGCGGTCCCCAACCCTTCCCAGGATGCTCCCTGGGCATCCCCCCAGTGTAGTCACCTACAAATAAGCATCAAGAAAGGCAGAGAGCTCTGCCTCACCGACTCCAGGATGTGAAGGGCAACAGCAAGACTTCGCTAAAGCAGCAGAGGCCATCAGTAAAACATCAAGCGTGCTCTAGCACGGAGCTGCCTCCTCACCCCACCACGGAAACACCCAGCATTGGCTCTCCCACCCTGCAGGCCTGCAGGTTTCACAGCCGGGGCAGTCCCCACCTAAAGTGCTCACGGATTCAAAATGAGAGCAGGGACATGGTATCTTGCCTGGCTTCTGCAGGCCGAGCAGGAAAGCTGGAGCCACAGGGGCATGTTTCAGTGGTCAGCACTCACACGTTCAGGAGACACACCAGAGAGAAGGGTTAGATGCTGAAGCAATGTCTGTTATAGCTTGTTACAGTTATTTATGCATCTTATTGTAAATGCAAAAGGTGAAGTCACTTAATTCATCATTTCTCAGACATGGATGACAGAGCATGTGATTTGGCATAGTAAGTTTTAGGCTAGCTATAAATGAATTGCACAATATTTAAACCTGATTAAGTACATAATAGGCTCAGCAAAGGATTACTTTTCTCCTTACATTTTATACATATATATACACACGCACACACACACAGAGACAGGCATTTTATCATTAGCTGCATTTTAGTCTTGTCAAGAAATGACTGCCTACTGCAGAGTGACTGAAGTGATATCCTTAAAAAGGAAACTATTCTTGGTGTGCTTTGCTGGAAAGGAGAAGTTCCTCTTCAGGGTAATTCTCACGGGTAGGAGTCACAGACAAACATCACCGGACAGCTAGAGGGGCCAGAGGGCCAGGGGCTGGGGACTCGCACAGCTCTGGCTAGCTGTGGGCATAAGCACTGGCACACTGAGCTTGTTGCCTGCAGCAGGCAAGAGATGTTTGAGCCAAGGGGCCAGATTAGATTCTGTTTGGGCTGCTTTTCTAGGACTTGGAGAAAAATTTGGCTTATTTAAAGTGCATTTAGAGTCTGAAAAGCATCTCTAAGAAGGAGCTTTCCCTACTCCTGCCCTGCAGCATCCATCAGCTCCCATTTACAAACCCACCTTTTCCAGGGTCTACCAGTCACCTTCCCCGGTTGCCACAGCCCAAAAGGTGTTAGTCTGAGCTCAGCTGCCTCCCACTAAGATGCAAGCCCGACCTCCCCTAACTGGGCAGGAATTCAGGGCTGACAGGAGGAGGGATTTCTGCATCAGGAAAATACATGGCCACGTTTCACTGCGCTTTTTAGAAGCACAAGTGAGCAGGAATCCTTCCCACCGGCCTGGAGGTTTCCTAAAGAGCCTTAAGTTAGTGCACACCTCAAAAGCTAAGAGGGACAAATCTTGGCCTCGCTATTTACATAGTCTGGTTGTATGTGCTTGCATACAGGCTGGCAAACCTTACCCAAGAATAGGTCCTCTGAGAAATTCTCTGCCAATTTTATAGCCGCTTTTCAAAGCGGAAGCCTTTAAAAAACTGACTCAGGATGCAGAATCTGGAATGGGACGGTTGTATCCTGCAGGGAAAACCTGTCCTTGCTCCCCAACACGCCCAACACATGCACACGCGCACGCACACACACTGCGCCGGGGCTCCTGCCCACAGTCACGCACAAATACTGGTCTTCCACATCAAAATGTAAACTACTCATTTACAACACCACGCACTGAGAGAAGTTGTAGATCCTGAGCCAGGGTGTAGATTAGGAATCTCTTGGCTTCCAGCATATCAACAGCAGGATTGAGGGTTTCTTTTTTTCCCCCCTCCATGTTTTTCAAATGCTAAATCAGCCAGCCACCTGCTAGTTAAAAAGCAAAAGAAAAGGGAGAATTCCCTGGATTGCTTGCCCTTGCTGAGACAGTGGCAAGTGGCTGGACACTACCAACTGAAAGAGAAAACTCACGTCAGAAACCTGTGGTTCAGGGCTTATTCCAAGAGGGGAGATGGGTGCTGGTTGCTATTTTTATCTTTCCCTTTTGGGGGTGGGTGGGGGGCTTTTGGCTCATGTAGTTCTAATGTACACCTATCACCACAGTAATTAAAAAACCACCACCATACACTATTTCACAGGGAAAAAGAAGACACGTGAACATACACTTACTACCACACACAACAAGAGCCCTGCAGGTCAGCTCAATGGCCTCTTCAAAATGAAAAATAAAGGAGAAAAGAAGAGCTCAAGATGACAACAGGGGGAAAAAAAAAAATGAAAAAACCCAAAACGATCTCATTACAAAGAACAGGAAAATAAGAACCGTTATGGTACGCTCCGACTTTCTCAAATAGCTGCAGAAACTTGGCTCAGCCTTCCTCCTCCTCCTCCTCCCTTCCCCCCCAGATCTTTCGCCCGAGGACAGTGTCCTGCTGCTCACATCTCGTTGGAGTAGGTGTAGTTTGGGGTGGCCGAGTACTGTGTCTCGTGCTGCATCATGGCACCCTGCGCCGCCCCCATCGCTGCGTTCTGTGCTGCCTGCTGCACGTGGGGGTTCTTCCACGCCCCCGTGGTCCACTCCTCCTGGGCTTTGCTGAAGCTCCCGCCACTCCCTCGGTAAAACTTATGTACCTGAAGCAGGTTGGAGAGAGAAAATCCAGAGGCGTTGAGCGACTGCAGCTCATGCTGACCTTCCAGGGTAGCGGCAAGGGCTCCCTGAAGCAACGCGGCACCCCCCTCTCCTCCCATACCATAGTGAGAGCAATGAAGGAGAAGACTGCCATCCCTGTGAACAGGACGGTGGGGATCAGCATCACCACAGCCGACCCCACGTTGGTCCCAAAGAAGGAAATCGCTGCAATCCAGCCACTACAAGGAGATGAAAAGAACCAGTTCAATTCAGCAGCTTGGGGCTTTCCCAGCTGGCTCTGCACAGCGCAGCCTGCCAGCACCCCTCCCACCTCCTCAGTCCATCCTCCCCAAGGAGAGGAGCTACCAAAGCACCAGCACAAGGAGAGAAGCTACCACGAGGCCACAGCACCAGCACAACGGTGGCTGTCCTTGCACCCAACACGAGAGCAGCATCTTCCTTACCAGACACCCCAGCCAGGGATTCCCACTGCCTGGATAATGCTGATCACCAGCTGGGCCATGAAGGTGAAGAAGAAGGCCATGAAGCTGAAGGAACTGTCTGTCCTGCAAGGGAAGACTCAGTCACTCCCTCTGCCTCCATCCTTGCTGCACTGCAAGGGAAAGGAGATGCTCCCACATCTCAGACCCTTTCAGGGCAGAAGCAGCTGTGGTTTAGCAAGAGGATGAGGAGAAGCAGAGCTGCCTGCAGACAGCAGGCACCAGAGCAAAACAAAAGGGAGAAACTGTGAGAGGCTGAAGGTGGTGAAGGGGCACCTGGGAAAGTGACAGGGCATCAGACCCTCCCCATGGCTTGGCCAGCTCTGGGCATCAGGTGAGAGGGCATCTGTGTTTGGACACAGGTCTCAGCTCACACCACCCTACTGTCAGACTCAACCATGCCGCATGGGGAATAAATGCACCCCAGGTTTTCTAGATTTGGGGATACTGCACTGGGGACTGACCTCAGCAGCATGGATAATCAATACAAGCACCTCAAGGGCTCATGAAAAAAATACAAAAGAAGCCTCAAGGATAGGTGGGAGGGAAGCGAAAGTTGGCACCCCAACTGCATCCTCACCACTCCCCCTTGACTCTGCAGAGGCACAAGTAGGGCATCTTTGGCATGGTTAGGGCTTTAACCCTCGGGAAATCCCAAAAACCCTTGCTTTGAAGGTTAGAAAGTAAAGCTAAAGGGCTGGACAGAAAGAGCAGAAACTCCCCCATGTATTCAGGCAATGCCCCAAGCTAAGCACTAACTGTTCAGGAAGGAAAACAAACAAACAAAAAAATAGAGAGACCATGAGAAGCCAGGCTCAGGTGTGACCACTTACTTGAAAGCTTTGTAAATAGGTCTAAACCAGCAGACATAGGAGCAGGGCGTAAAGAGAATGAGCCAGAGAATTGCCAGTCCAAAATTAACAGCTCCACCGCCTCCAATCAGCCATGCGAGGCAGCCAACGAGATTCACCGCCAAGGTGATGCTGTTCACTGCAAACACACACACACACACACACACAGAGGGAGCACAGTAGCGTGTAGGCAAGGACGTCTGTGTGATACGAGAGATATCCCCGACCCCAGGGATGCCCATGCAGGGCTGGCCTCCAGTGGGTTTGGCCAGCAGTGGGTTACCCTAGCTGGATTTCCCTTAACTTAACCTAAATTCAGCTGGCTGAGTCCAGGGAGCATCCCCAGACTGGCTCAGCCAAAGGGGCTCTAACCTCAGCTGAGGAACAGGAGGGAAAAAAAAAATGTTGCTCAGAGTTGCAATGTCCTAAGCAAGTCCAGGGCTCATGGGGCTCCGAGGACAGGGAAGAGCCATATCCTCCCACTGCCAGCAAGTCGGGCCATGTTTCCACCAACAGAAGGAAACTGGAGGAATGGAGGGGAAGCTTTTTCACTTGCCTTCAGCTACAGTTTCACTGAAGGAGCTTGTGCTAGAGTCCCCCAAGCTTACACACCTTGAGCTGAGAGCCGAAGCCCTGAACTCCCAGCCCCTGCCTCGCCAGTTCAGGGGGGTGGTTGCTTCTCCCACCCCTGCTCAGGGTGAAGCGATACAAGGGCTATTACTATGAAGCCCAGCTTAGCAGACACAGGACAAAGCAGAGAAGGCTCATTTGCATTCTGACGCCTCCGATTTTTGAGAATGATTCATTATTTCAACAAGAATTAAAACCCTCCCACCGCCACCCGCAAGAGAGCTGCAGCTGGCAAGAAAGGGAGCTCAGTTGGCCAGGCTGACCAGGCGCTCGCTGCTCCCTAAAGCCCCCAAGGACACTGAGGGGACCTTTCAGCCTCCCTGTGCTTGCGTCTGGCTGGTTGTTTGCGGGGGAGTTGGGGAGAAAATGATCCAGAGAGAAGCTCCAGAGACAGAAACCAACAGACAGGTGACTGGCTCAGAGCTGGTGCTTGTGCTGTGGGAGAGGCTGGAGCAAGAACCAAGCTCTATTAAATTAACAGAGCAAGAACAGCCAGATTGAGATGAAGAGGGAATTTAACACCTCCAAGACAGTTTCTCCAGGGAAGCACAACTTTTTTTTTTTCTCCCCCTTCATAGAAAAGCTACCTCCTGACGTGATGTGGAAAGTCACCCCAGGGTCACCTTCCTAATGGGATGTGGCCCCCAAAATCTGGAGAGAGGCACGGCCCCAGGGGTGCCAGCCTGGCACCATGCCAAAAGCAGAAACTTCTCTGGTGCCAGCTCAGCTCCTCATAACCTCCCTCTAAAGCACAAGGTGCTTCCTGGCACTGATACACTTCCAAAGTTCGGGGAAAATGCCTGATTAAGGAACTTAAGTTCTTGTAAAAAAAAACCCAAACAAAACAACCCAAAGGTGCCAGCTTGCTCTGAGCTGCACTCAGCAATTTAGCATCATCTTCAGTAACATTTTCACGTATGTTGGGGTGCAATCTGTCTCTCCACCTCTTCTCCCCACCCAGGGATGGTAAGGACAAGAGGGAATGGCCTCAAATTGTGCCAGGGCAGGGTCAGGCTGGCTCTTAGGAAGTATTTCTTTGCAGAAGGGGCTGCTGGGCATTGGAATGGGCTGCCCAGGGCAGGGGTGGAGTCCCCATCACTGGAGGGGTTTAAGAAGTTGATCCAGTGCTGAGGGATCTGGTGGAGTTGAGAATGGTCAGTGTGAGGTTCATGGTTGGACTGGAGGAGCTTCAAGGTCTTTTACAACCTTGATGATTCTGTGAAGAAAGATCCAGGCTAGTTCAAAGAGTTAGAAGATTGTGACAGCTCTGTTAGCACAGCACGGCACACAGATGCATGCAAGAACAGGCAAGATCCAGCTTTGGGGGAAGCCCTGGGCTCCCCTATTTTGGGGAGCAGGTACCCTGGCCCTCCAGTCCAAGTTCCATCTCAGCCTTGGGTGGCTTCCAAAAGGCTCACGAGGAGCTTGGGGTGTGGCAGAGAAAGCCCTTCCCCAGTCCCGCTGCCAAAGCAAGCCAGCAGAGGCTTGGCAGCTCGCTGGTGGGGTGAGACTGGCAGCCGAGTGAGACGAAGAGGGGAGTAAATCCTTCAGCAGGAGGACACGAGGGTGCTGAGCTGTCTCCTCCTCACAGCAGGCTTCAGCGGGACATCAAGGTCACCGACAGCCCTTAGACACCGAGCCAGCTCCACACCTCCATCCTGGAGGCTGGAAGGGCTGAAGCCCAGGAGATTCTGCAGCCCCCATCCTATCCTCAGTGGATTTTAACAGGAGACACCAAGGCCTGGAGGGGCAGAAGGACTTCCCCTGACCTTGCTCTGCTTTTTCAACTTCCAGAGGAGCAGCCTTCAGAGAGGCAAGCCCACACAAGCCCTTCCCCGCCCAGCGACTCACGCATCCAGAGGTAGTAAAGCCGCTTGGCCATGGTACGGTGCTGCGGTGGGATCTCTGCGTCAAAGTCCTGGTAGAAACATGGCTTCAAGGGGATGAACTTCGGCAGGGGAGGGAAGTTGTTCACTTTTTCTGCAATAAACAGTTTCACCAGCATTGGGCACTGCACAGAGCTGAATGTAAATCAAGTCTTGTTCAGCCCCAAGAACTGACAAGTTTCACACAGGAATTAAGGATTTCCCCTTGTAATCACCAACCACCCATCCATAAGCATCAAGACAAATTTAGCCCTCAGTGGCCACATGGATCCTGCAAGCGTGGACACCTGGAACCCCACTGGGGACTAATAAGGGGATATTACGGCCAGTAAAGCCCCAGATGTGCCTCAGAGGTGAGGGGCAGCCCTGCCAGAGACCCTCCGTACCTGCCATGCTGGCACACGCTCAGCCTCTCTGTTCCACAGGAAAAGTAGGGAAAAAAAGCCCTGGGAGCTTTACCAAAGCTGCAGGAAAATGAGAGAAAAAGTGATGTGAAGTGGTCAGGTATCCCTGAAAAGCCTTCACCTTTCCCTCCCCTCCAAAACGCTCAAGGACGGCACTGTAAGACGACAGTTTGCTTTATTTACACAGATACTCTACGTTGTTCACACATGCAGGCTTACCACTGGCACCTGGCTGGCAGCAGAACAAATCCCAGCTCCTACGGCCCGAGGCTTATGCACCAGTTAAGGTGGAAGATTAGGAGAAGATCCAGAGATGTGGGGCAGGGCGCGGGCTTAACCTCCCACTCCTGACTGACCTACATCCAGCCCCAGGAGAGGGGCCAGGCTGTATGGCAGGGGAAGGGACATGGCCCCATGACTGATGAGGTAGCTGTGGGCAGTTTGAAATCCGCAAGTTCATTACCTGGCCCAAAGCCTTTTTTTTTTTTTTTAATTTATATTTTTGCAAAGAGTTCCAGCACAGGGAACTACCTGGCTGTCTCCTGATAACATCACAGCTCCCATCTCTGCAAGCCCAAGCCAGAAACCAGGACAAAAGGGAGCAGGGAAGTCAGCTGAAAATATCAGCTGGAAAAAAAATAAATCAGTGGTGATTGTCACTAATGAGTCACTTGAGTGCCAGCTTAATGATTACTCATGTCATTTGGCACTTTGTGCTGTATCTTGCAGGTGGGAGACAGGGGGAGCTCAGCATCCCAGGACAGTCCCAGACCATGCCATGCTCAGCCCTGTCCCAGCAGCGAAAACTGGGCAAAATTATAGCAAAAAATGAAGAGCTGGGGTTTTAAATATTAGCATGAAGACTCTGTGTATCCCCACCTGCCTGCGTGGCTCTGCCAGGCGCTGCCTGCGGGTTTTGCCCTCTCCCAGGCTACGCAGAGCAGAGGAATGGCAGCAGCGAACATTTCTCATGCCACGGGGTCCCAGGGGTCAGTGCTTTGGGCTCCCTGAAGGATTTGGGGCTCTCTGCCAAGGCAGCCCCCCGCTCTCCATCCCAGCCAGCACCAAAGACACCGGCCAGGCAAAGCAAACCCCCACGGCCCCGCCGGCGTGCTGTCTGCCGACATCCGATGGCAGCCCACGGACGGCTCCCTCCCCCCGGCGCTATAAATACGAGCTGCCTGCCTGCCTGCGCTCCTGCCTGCGCTCCTGCCTGCGCGCTGACGTCTCCCCAGGCAGCGGCTGGGCGACGCGGCCCCCACGCACGTGTGCCGGGAGCGGGGACACGCGGCCGGGCGTGCCC